ATACCAATTTTGTAGATAAACTCTTTCTAGTAAGAATTCAAAATCTTTGTAATAAAGAGTCTTTGTGCAAAATTTTTCGTAATAAATTCTTTATAAGAAAAAGTCTACCAAATATTAAATATTCAAGAAAAAGTCTTTTAGATATTAAAGATCTTTCAAAGATTTAAACACGTTTTGAATATCAAATATACCAATTTTAAGAAAAAATCTATTAGCAATTAATTTCGAAGACAAGGTCTTTTTGAAAGATTTTTAATTCGTTTGAAAAGTTTGAAAAAATTTTACACCAATTTATATTATCTTTTCTATTAAAGTTCAATTGCTAAAAATGCCTAACTAGTTTTGCTGAAATTTCTTTTATTTACGTTTTTATTTATTTTTAATTTTTAAAATAGTCATCGACCATCAAATTTGGTCCGAAAAGAGAGTTTTTGGAAGGGGTAAGCTCTTGAAGACAGAATCTTGATGCTCAACACTCTTATCATAATCATTTATCTCCCCTCCATACTCTTATAAGAATGCTTTTTTTGAAGTTTTGCGGAAAAAGGGTTTTTTAACATTTTGTATGATGAATTGTATGTCTCAAATAACAAAATAAAATAGAGAAAAAAATTAAAATATTCATTAGTACGAGGAAACCGTCAAAATATTGATAATTCGAAAAACCTATAAACTTTTGAATTACAAACTCCATGTTTGCAGAAATAATAACTCATTGGCATTTTATTCATTCTTTGGTTCCTACAAATAAAAGATGACTAAAATATTTTCCTAACGTATATAGGAACATTTTGATTCCATATCTTTTCTATCTTATACAACAATCAATTACTAATTATTTGACTAATTCAAACTGAATAAAAATTATATATATATAAATTATGAACATGTTTGAGAAATATTTATAAATGATTTAAATTATATATAACTAAAAATGAGTAATGAAATAAATAATATTTGTTAGTTTCTAGAAATACGTAGAAATATGACTTGGGATATTTTTCAACATGGACCAAACATAGCCCTTGTTTGAGCCCTATTTTTTTTTGAAAGAATGAATTTTTGAATAGTATATTGATGAGAAATATGTGGTTAAAAAATAAGAAAAAATTTTGAATTTGCGTGTAATATTATTTTATTGAAAAATGTGTAGTTGAAATGATGTCAAAACACTATTAAAAAATAATTTTTTAAGGATGAAGCTCGAACAAGGCATAATCTTGATTAGATATTGTTTACATCCAAGAAGTTTTCCTCTGTTGGAGCATCTTTTCTATTGCTAGTATAATGATTGATCACAGAAATGACCACTAATGCACTACTTATGGCGTAGAGCAGTGGAGGTAATAATTGGCTTGCTCAATTCACTTTTCGATTTTTTTGGGCCAATCGGATTACATAAAAAATCAAGGGCTTGCATATGTCACGATTGAATAGTCAAATCTGACATGATTTATCTCTTCATAACACATATCAGGTCGAACAAAACAAGAAGTAGGTCACACTAAATATGGATCAGTAGCATTCAACAAATGCACGTCCAAACTTGTCAAGAGTTGTGGTTCACTCGATTTCATTCTGGTCGGTCAAACAATTTATTCATAGTGTTAACAACGGTTGCCAACATCTTTTTAGTTGAAAACTTGGAAAAGAAATTGTCTTCATTATTGAAAGGGATTGAAAGAAAGAAATTTAATTATAAAAAATAGGTTAATTTTAAATTTGATTAGTGTATCCTCTCTCTCTCTCTCTCTCTCTCTCTCCCTCTCTCTCCCCCCCCCCCCCCCCCCCCCCCCCCCAACAACCAAATCTAAAGGCTTAAACGTAAAGTTTCTTTTTTCCAATAGTTGTAACCTTTCGCATTGATACATTTTCATGTAACAACTCAACCCTTCCATTCAAGCATTTTTGAAAGGTCATGCTTTCTAGATAAGTGACAATATTCAAAAGCTATATATAGCCCCTGTCTGGCTGTGGTTTTTCAATGAATTTTCAGCCATTTTCTTATCGTTGAGTTCAACTGCGGATCTCACCAAAGAAAGAGTCAGTCAAAAATTACGGCTACAACGGTAGGAAAATCTATTCTTTTCAGCCAATAATCTGCACCAGACAGGGCCTATAGTAAGGACATTGCTACGCTAAGATTCAAAAAAAATTGTAATGTAAGTTAGAACTTAATTTTCGTTAATCAATTCAATTAACTTTGCAATATATTCTATGAACTACATTTTCTACGTATGATGTGTGTATAATTAATTAAGTATACAAGTGATATAATCAAGTGTCGAGTCAATCTTAGTCAACTTAACTATTTTAATCCTTGCATCATGGGCATACAGTTGCAGTTTAATTGCATGTAATTTTCCGTGCGAATACATCATATTATGGGGTTTACACAATATACCCAAATATAATCTTAACATTTTACCTAAGTTCGTCAGTTACTTACGACCTTAAAAAAGGAGTATTACAATTAAAATAACATTTAAAAGTGGAAACAAAATTGGATTATTAAATTTAACTATAATTATTACGTTTGGCTTGTTATTTTGAAATCACGTTTCAGTGATTTTTGAATATTAAAGATGTATTTTGAAGTTTGTCTTTAATCCTTCGAGATGAGACTCATTACCTACATGAATGAGTGAAGAACATTGCCTGAAAATAAGATTTAGCAAAAATAAAAGATGAAAATCTACCCCGACGGGTAAAGAATATATTATTAAATCATTTTGTTTGACATTTTCTTTTTTCAAGGACCCGGTTCAACTCGAAAGATGCGTTGCAAAGTTTACCATGAATACTTTGAAAATGCGTTACAAAGTACAATTATTAATGGGTCTCAACACTCGTCGTTGTATTTTGATACGAAACTCTATTGAGAAGAAAGACTCAAGAAACCGAATAAATTTGAACCCCAATTATAAATTATTGGCTTTGCGAAGAAACCAAATCAATTTGAACCTCAATTATATATTCTTGGCTCCACCATTATCTCCATCCATGAATGGAGTCTGTTTGACTCTCCCACGACTCTGTCTTCTGAAAATATTTTCTCTACTTTTAGATCGGTCCAGATGGCTTGGCCGGACCACAGCACGATGGGTCTTCTGTATTGGCCCTGTAGGTTTGGAGGGGCACAATTCACAGAAAGAAGAACCATTTAGGCCCCGTTTGAACCCTATTTTTTCCTTATTAAAATGAAAAATATGAACATTATCCATTACATCAAGTCATCATATTTGACTTTTTATCTCTTGTGTATAGCCCATAACGACTATATTTTTTATTCTCAATTTTACAATAATGTGGATTGAACGGGGGCTTAATTATCCTAACAAAGATAAATATATATGTAAAAACTTTTTAATTCTCCTAACAAACTCAAAACTCTAGGGACAGGTTGGCCCACGCACCTCATGGAGGAAGCTTCCTTTTGGATGCATGCTGGGAAACACAATTATGATTATTGAGTAGACTAGAGAAATTTCTTTAGACTTGTAGCAGCCAAAGACATTTCTTTGCACTTTCTCACTATTATTCACTTCGCAAACAAATCCTAGTCCGTGATTGATTTAGTTGAAAAAAAAATGTAGATAAAAATTTATTTCAAAGTTAACAGTTAATTTTAAAATATATTTTACGAAATTTATAACTTTTATTAATTTTTTAATAATAAATTTAATCGACTTTTATCAAAATTTACTAAAAATTGATTTTATTATTTTATTATTATTATTATTTTTTGACAAAACCAAGTACGGCTGAGACGAAATAGACAATTATTGTATACTTTATACAATACTTTATATCCCACAGCTTTCACTTTTTTGTCACGGTATGCCCCCGATAATTTTTTGTTATTTATTTCTTTTTAGGACAAGATTTTCATATGCCATGTATCACCTTCCTTCTTTTTTTTTTTTTTTTTTTTTTTTTTTTTTTTGGTTTAACCCATTCTTTTTTTTTTTTTTTTTTTTTTTTCTCAAGATGGCTATTTATAATTTTCTTACATTGGAACACCCCATTAGAAGGAAAATGCCACCGATTGAGAAAAAACGGTGTGACGACTATTGCTCTCTAACATTCAAATCAACAGTCAGATAAGAGATAGCAAGAATGCAAGAGAGGAAAATGAAATTTGGTTAGAGATAGGTTAATTACCTTGATTGCGAAGTGATATCATACGCACATGCGCACACACGTAGAAATGAAATGTGAAGTGAGTTTAGTGAAATGGGTCTAAATTCAAGCCCAAAATACAATTGTTTAATTAAAAAGGTTCAATCAATTGAATAGTGATGTCACAACGACATATGTGGGACTCCTTCTATCTGAGTATGCCACGTGACTTATAGGTGTAGCAATAGTAGTTTTTTTTTTTTTTTTTTTTTTTGTCTTTAACTTGAAAAATTGGTGTCGTTTATCTTTTTCTTTTCTTATCTAGGATTTTTATCCTAAAATTATGAGTTACTTGAATTTTCCGTAGCAAGCATCTTACATATCGGATTCATCTCAAGTCATTTCCAAAATATTTGACGTCTATTTGTATGTTATTTATTAAAAAGGGACAGAGAACGCGAAGTCAATTTATTTTGATTTGTGTATAGGGGAATTCGTAAACTTCGTATTCACGTATTTAGAAGATGAAATAACATTAATAAATACTTCAATTAGAAATAATCTTAGCAGTGAAAAAATATGTTTTAGAAATTAATTACTGTGATTTGATAATAACCCTATAATTTTTCCATTAAAAAGGGTATATGGTAGATGTGGTCCTAAAATCCAATTGGCTCTATCAATTTATCTGATGTCAGCATGGTGATGTCATCACAAGTCGCATAATGCCACGTGGAACTATGAAGAAACTTCAAGTATCCCTCCAGGAAAGAGTTGATGAAGCTGCAAGACTAAAAGAAGAAAAAAAATTAAAAGAATAACAAAAAAAATTAGATAATATATTTATTTAATAAAAAGGGCAGAAAGAGGACTTTCCATTTCCAACTCCACAATGGATACTAATTCTCAGTATCAAAACCCTAACCCTAAAACTGACCCTGATCAATATATTACTAATCGGCTGTTCGATGACTCATTATATTTTGAAGTTTCGGATTATTTCGTGATGGACAATGGCTCTGAAGAAGATATTTTCGTGGAAAATACAATCCCACCAGCTGAAAACGTAGTCAATGAATCTTCAAATCCAAGTCCAGTGGCCAGAAACATGCAAGTCCAATTAAAACCTAATATTTTTTTTCATTTTTGTATATTTTTTGTCTTGATTTAGCTACAACGAGGAAAATATTCATTTATTATTATTTTTTTTAATGGAAGGGTACATAGAAGAAGAGAAAAGAAATACAAGTCACAGAGCGAGTTTAAGTTCGCGTTGAGAACCAAATCAAATATCGAAATCATGGATGATGGATTTAAATGGAAAAAATATGGGAAAAAGATGATCAAGAACAGCCCAAATCCAAGGTAATTCATTGTACATTTTTCTTATTACCTTGTTTCAATACTGTTTTCTTTTCAACTTAGCTTATGATACCATTTTGAAAGTGTTAAATTAATCTAATAATGATTAGTAGCTTAACACCATCCAAATATTTGAGAGTTATATATATTTAAGATCAAACTGGTGCTGCTTCATTTAATTTGATAGATTTCAATTTAATAATGGTTCCTTTATTGTGATTTCATTTTGAAAATGATAATTTAATATGTGCAAATAGAAACAGTTGAGAAGCATTAATTAAAGGGTTATTCATCATTATCCCATGATAAATTCTTAAGTTGATGTAACACTTTCTAATTTAGCATTTTTGAGTTTGGGAGGTCTCTCTCTAACAATCATCAAATCGATTTTAAATCAAACTGTTCGTTAGAGAGAGTATAATTTTATTTATTTGTCTTCAATATGTCCATTTATATGTACACAAAAGTCATTTTATCAAGAGTACATCATGTGGGATACTCATAAATGTGGATGATGTAATTTGAACTCAAGATGTTTATTTATTTTGATAAATGGTTTGAAGGTATCATCTTAAATTAAATTATTAAAGATGAGTTTAATTTATGTATTTTTACATGTTTTTGTCTTCGACAGTCTTTAACTTAGTTCATTCATACATAGCCAACAATTTGGTAATTAATATAGATAGCTATTCATTCATACATAGCCAACAATTTGGTAAAAAAATGCATACTTGGCTATGTCTAGTACACAATACCCATCAACTGATAATATTAGAACTTCGGATTTTCACTAATTTGATCCATTTCTGTTCAATTCATCATATTCAATGTTTCTTTACAAGTATCTCGCATGATCAAGAGTTACGAATTTTTTTCCTATAATGAATTATACAATATGTGCAAAATTAAAGGTATGATAAAGCGATTTATTTTAGTCTTCACCGTGAGAAATTGGAGTTAGCTAAACTTCAAAATTTATTCCTAGGTAAGTTTATTACTAGGGAATAAGTAGAAATATAAATATTTATTCTTTTATTGATCAAATTAAGATGAACGTCGGCCTTATTAATTTCTCCTCATAAAGTTTGTAGTTAAAAATTTACTTAGTGCATGTTTGGATTGACTCTACTTAAATAGTTCTCCAATGGTCTCAATCCTGATCACAATTGAGTTTTCATGCCAAAATAGTGATTTTAGGGCTTTTACAATTTTGGTGTATTTTCACATCCGAATTTCACCATATTTTCTTTCCACCTTTTCTCTTTCATCTTACAATTCTAAGTGACTAGATTTATTTCAAAGTTAGGGAAGTGAATGGGAGTTTAAGAAAGTTTTGGGTTTGAATTATTTTCAAACTATTCCTTCTAATTCACTTTAATAACTTGTGGGTCAGGTCACCCCATATGGACGACGTACGACAAGCATCTTCCAACAATATTATATATCAACTTGGTCTTCTTTTTTTCTAGATGGTTTGAATAACCAAAAATGTCTGTTTAAGGTTTTGGCATCATACAAGCCACTTGGTATCTGGTGAAATGATTGCCATTAATATATAGTGGTATGAATAAATAAAGAAAAAAAGAGAAAAAAAAAACGCATAAACAATTTTCCCCTATTTTCTTGTCTGATATCATATAGTCCACTCTATCAAACAAATCATCAATATTTCTACAAGAAATTCTATGTTGTACTTGTGTGTTATATCTGTTTCATATATGCATGTAGCAGCCTCAGGGTCAAAACTTTGGGGTTTCTTCAGAAGTTGCATGACTTCTGTGTATATACAAAATTTTCATATGATGACTGCTGTGTTTGTTCACTTCTCATTCTTGTCATTGCTGCCAAGTTTTCTTCGGAAATATGAAATTAGCCCATGTTTGATAACCATTATTTGAAAACTATTTTTTCTATATACTCATTTTTAATTAAACATTTACACAATAAAATATTTTATATATAAATTCAAAATCTTTTTCTATTTTTTAACCACACATTCTCTTAAAAATCACTATTCAAAACATTGTGCCCCGGTTTGATGGCTATTTTTTCTCAAAAACAATGTTATGAATAGTAATTTTAAGAAGAATGTCTGATTAAAAAGTAGAGAAAAGTTTAGAATTTGACACTGACCTATCCCAATTTATTTAAATCATTGAACAAATATGTACAAGATATTGGACATAAAGTTGGACCTTCAAGTTACTTAAGCTTGATTTTGACAAAAGGGTGGTGCTCCATTATGAACAGGAACTATTTTAAATGCCAAAGGGATGGATGCAATGTGAAGAAAAGGGTAGAAAGGGATAGAGAGGACCCCAGATATGTGATAACAACCTATGAAGGAGTGCACTACCATGAAAGCCCCAATTGTGTGGTCTGTTGCAATAACCAATTGCCTACTCATGGATTGACTTTACACCAATCGTCGTCTCTCTCTTTCTCTCCTTCTCCCATACTATAATTAGTTATAATAATTCAGTGATGTGGATTATATGTTCACTATTATAGACTAGTTATGACTTGTTCAAGGTGGATCATAGGATATTGAAATGAAACTGATTTTGCATTATATTGTCTAGCTTTGTTCAATACCATAGTTATGACTTGGTCGAGATAAGGTGAATTATGTAGTATTAATCAATAAAAAATAGGACTTTATTTATTATAATGTTCAATCTAATAAATATTGGTTCCATGGTGTGTGTCCATTTTTATTTTTCCAGTGTTGCCTCATCTTACAAGTAGAATTGCTTGTATGGAGATAATTGAATTTTTATGCATTTGTATAATATTTTCTTCAAAGATAAATTAAATTAAGATTAGGGATGTTCACTGGCTATTATCAAATAGGATTCTATAGAAATTTAAGCTTCAGTATTGACTACAAGAAACACAAATCAAAAAACAATTGGACAGCTGAAACTGTTAACCAAGTTAGGATCTTAGGGGTGTATTCAATCTAAACTTTTAAAGTAGATTTAAATCCAAAAAAGTTAAATTTATAATTTATAAGTTTTATTTTTTTAAATAAATTAAACATAATCCTTAGAAAGAATCAGTAACTTCTTTAAAAACTGCAAATATTTTTTTAATAGATTCTAAAAGACATTAAATTATTCAGCTAAACAAATTGAGCATGGAATTATTATAGCCTTTTTAGAAACTGGAATTCCAAAATTTTAAAATTAAAATTAAAATTAGAGTTCTTGTTGTTTTTTCTTTTTTTAATAAAAGGAAATACATTAATGAATTTATTCTCTTTTATCTTAATAAATTGAATTTGATTTAAATGAAATTACATTAAGTACTTTTTGGATCTTTATAAGTGAACTTGATTTATATTTATTTAATTCCTCATAAACACGAGATGGGATATTCATCTCCATGAATTGCTCTAATATTTGAAGGGTTGGTCCAATGAATTAATGCAATTACTCATGTCTCGTATTAATGCAGACTTCCAGTCATTAGATCTTGATTAGTAGTGTAATTACTCATGATGTCTAGTATTAATGCAGACTTCCAGATACTAGATCTTGATCAGGGCATTTTTTAGACTACTCAAAGTTGAATGTCGCTACAAGAAATTATAGCTTTTCCGACCAACCAAAAATTAGTCGGTGAAAACTCTCTTATGATGACCAATACAAATACTTAGTCGGTAATATCTTTACCGACCACGTATTTCCCAATCCAATAAGATTAGTCAATAATAATAGTCTTTGCCGACCAATTTATTCCCGACCTATGTAAAATTAGTCGCTAAAAATAATATTTACAGGCCAAAATATGCATTGGTAGGCCAAGTGTAAATTGGTCGGACAAAATAAGATATATTTTGGCGCCACACAATTTTTATTGACCAAAAGTAATTTTTGGCCAGCGTAAATGAAACATGACTACATTACATGGTTCTTAAAAATTAATTGTCACTCGCTTCATTTTCTATCGACATCAGATTAGAAAGTCACTCTTCCATATATTGAATGTCTGTGGATGTTTCATTGACATGTACACATATACTTAATGATCCAAGTTGCTAGCATTCTGATTTGGTTGCTTGCAATAGGAACTTCATATTCCAATACATTTTTGTGAATTCAACTATGGAAGAACATACATTACAAGCTACAAAAAGCTGGATCCAACCTGTGACTAAGGAGAAATATGTGATGAAACTAATCTTATCAAATTTTTGGAACTTGACTAGACTTTTTATTTTGGATTCCATTATAGTTTAGACTGTGTTTTCCTAATTGGAATTGGAATTGACTTGTAAAGATGCTATATATTATTTTGCCTTGTAAATATTTTGCTGGAGGCTTTTGGTTGTGACTATTGTTTTTTGATTTCGGATATTTTTTATTAGTACATTGTGTTTGAATTGGCCTTTCATTCTACTTTATAATTTTGATTATTGCACAGGTTCAAAAAATAAAATAAATCACATTTACCAACTAAAATCATAGTAGAAAATACAATCCAAATTTATTGCCTTGAATTTTGTTGGTCGGCAATTTGCCGACCAACTAATATGGTCAACCTATGTTTACTACCATCACTCATGACTTGTTTATTGCTGACTAATTTTAGACCTTTACCGACCAAATGTATGGTCAGCAAAAAGTTATGTCATTACCGGCCAATTTTTTGGCCAGTCAAAGTCTCTATGTTTCTCGACTAAAGTGTAGTTTGATCGGTAAAAACCTTTGTTGGTTTGCTTTTGGTGACCAGCTGCCGACCAACATTTTTCAGTCATAAATTGGGTTAACCAACTGATATTGGACTTTTAGCTACCAATTTCTTGGTATGCAAAAGTTATAATTCTTGAAATGTGTGCATTGCACGTTATTCTAAAATACTTTACAAATGCTGTAAAATTAATTTGATACTAATTTGTTGCGAGTATTTAATGAGTTTCAAACGAACTTTAAAAAAAAAAAAAATTAGGCTAGAAATTTAAGAGAAGAAAATTGTACTTTCAAAACTCAACTTCTATGACTCAATTTTTTTGTAATGATGAAATACTACAAATGAATAATCTTTTTATATTACATTTGGTGCATAAAAATTAATAAAAAAATATTTTTTTTGATAACTATTTACATAATGTTTTACATAGGAGGTGTTCGAGAGCCATTTTTATGTAAAAATGTATTTTAAAATAGTAACTTGTTGGGAAGTGTATGGTTGGAAAATAAGATTTTTTATTATTTAGGTGTAATATTATTTTAGTAAAGAATGTGTGGTTAAAAAGAGGAGAGAGAAAAATGTATTTTGGAAAAAATTGGTACCAAATGGGGGCATAATGGTGATGTATCAAAATGTAAGTGGGGAAATTATTTTATTGATGAGATTTTGATACAATTAAATTCAGTCACATCATATGTTAGTAAACCATTATATAAGTTACTCCATACATCCCATTTATATAGGTTGACTTTCCTCACTTTCTTGTCCTAATTATATAATTATGTTTCTTTATTGAGAATATTTTATTTTGTTTATTTACTAATATAATCTTATTTAATTTGCCTATTTATAATCAAATTTTTTCACTTAATATTGAAATTGTACAAAAATAAATAAGGGTAAACTAGAATTTATTTTTTTTTTACAAAAATTACTTTTTCAATAACATTAAATATAAAATTTCTTAATTTGGGAAAAAAACAAAATCAGTCTATATAAATAAGACGAATGGAGCATTATATATGTATAGCATAATCCAGAATTAATTGTAATACATGAATTTAAATACCCATTAAAATTTCTAGATACATGAATAGAAATAAATTCATTTATAATAACTTTAGATTCATGTAAATCAAGATTCATCAAGTCAAGATTTATTGAGTCTAGATTAATATGAATATTAATTAATTGAGAATTAATAACACGAAACTCATACGTGACAAGAATTTTGTGGTATTTATTACATATTGAAAAACAAAAAAGTAAAGTATTATTTAAATAATTAAATTGTTGTAGGGTTAAAATCATCTAAAAAATGATTCTCACTTGATGTGATATTTATTATTATTATTATTGTTGTTGTTGTTGTTATTATTATAGATAACATTTCTGTACAAATTAAGGTCTCTTCACAATTTCGTACATGGAAAATGCCCTTTATAATTCTTTTAGCAAGAAAATTTATTTCATGATTTTTTTTCAAAAAAATGATAAAGGTGGGTTTAAGAATATTTTTGATATGTAGTATTAAACAACCAATACAAAATAACCCGTGATTGTAAAAATATTTAATAGCTTGATATGTGCTCTACATAACATTTTGGCTTTCACTGAACATGATAAAAAATAATAATATTTCTCCCGACTCTCTTTTGAATTTGGGGAACTTTTATGTTTGCAAAGGAGATAGATGTCAAAATTCTAGAAAAGTAATCACTACCTAAGATTCTTCTAAAGTGGTGGCGCCACTGGTTATCATAACTAGGGCGAGATTTGATTCGTTTTGAAGTCCATTAAAATCTTACATTCTACACAAACAGCGGCGCCAACTATAAAATACAAGTTTCTATACTTTTGAGGGGAATTCCACACATTGGGAAGCAGAATGTACAACTAGAGATTTAAGGAAGCAATTCAAAACATCAAGAAATTCACATTTGAAGTATTGATTGGATGAGGAACAAGATCTTTGTGCAAGATTAATTTCTTTTTTTTTTACATCTTTCTCCAAAAATTCGATGATGTATTCCATAACTTCTTGTTTTTGGTCCACTACCATGAATAACTAAATTTAATATTAAGGTGAACAATGTAAATTATTTGAGATCCTTTATGTTTTTTATTCAAGATTATTGTCCTTTATCCTTTCATGTGTTGATTTCGTTGAGTTTAATGTATTGAATTACTTGATTACTAATTTGATGATTTTGTGAATCTTTTACAAATTGAGATGTTAGTTTAAGATTTAGACCATATAGTAAAATTCGATAAGTTGATATAAGGTGTAGAGATACCTATACTGATTATTGCGATAATAAATGAATTCTTCGAATCAAGATTTCGTTTAGTTAGATTGAAACTAAAATTGATTTGCATTGGATATGAAATTAAATTAGTTAAATATGCTCAATTAAAGATGTCAATCGAGCTTGTCAGCTCAGACAGCCCGTGGCTCAATCCAAAAAAAGCCTGAGCTCACTCGGCTCGACGCTCAGAGGAGAGTCTCAAGCCAAGGCTCAGGGCAAGCCCTCATTTCGGAGAGCCAGCTCGAATAGGGCTAGCTCGTTATTAAAAAAAAAAAATTATTTTGGGTTATCAATCTGCTGCCTGTTTGGCCGCTATTTTAGCTACCAAACAGGCAGCTAAACTGCCTTAACCAATAGCTATGAAGCTGCCGATTAATGCAGCACCCGAGCTACCTGTTGGCAACTATTTAGCTACCAACCAACAGTAGATTAACAAATTCTGCTACCTATTGGCAGCTAAATTCTGCTGCCTATTTGGCAACTAAAAAGAAAAAGATTTACAAATTTTGAGAATATCGAGTTGACTCGATTCGAGCCTTAATTTTTTGGTTGAGCTTTTGCTCGGCTTGGCTCAGGCAAAAAGAAGCCCGCCTTCAAAAAGCTCGGCTCGACTCGTTAACACTCTTAGGCTCAATGAGTACTCGAGAGTGTAAATTGAATA